TTTGATAAAAGTATAACTAGTAATCATTTGGAAGCATGACGTTAGATTTATCATATAGAAATTCCGCTTCCAAAATCCGTTGTTTTTTATTCAATTTTTATTTTGCTTTTCACCTAGAAAAATATCAAAAAATGAGTTACTAGTTTCACCTACTGAGTTAGTAAACTGAATAAATTGTTATGCCGTATATGTGAGAGAAACATCAAGCCAGCTGAATGTGAAGCTTAAGGAACAAAACATTAGTTAAAACGTGTTCCTGGACCCTTAGTTGACATTTAGAAAATTCGGGAAGACATCTACAATAGCTATAAAGTCTTTGTAAATGGTTCACAAAATAAACTGTGATGATGCGAAAATTCTTGAGGATGGGTAGGAGAGGTACAGCGTTCAGAGGCTAGTCGAAACAAACTGAACAGAACAGATAGAATACACTTACCTATGTCTTGATAGATTTCTATCAATAAACAATACATTTTTATTTCTATTCCTCCATACCACAATAGATTCATTCCGAAAGGATGACGTTTTTGTTTTAACACGAATAGAATTTGGTATTCAACACTATTAGATACCAACTCAGAGGTCTAAAATTTGGAAGTTTGTGTGTGTGATTGGTGTTTCCAGATTTTATTTCTGCAGAAGGAGTTGTGGTTGACCACCGATGGAACGTACCATACTTAAACGAAACGGTTGTTCATTTCTAATGTTTTGGTTTCAGATAACGGAATGAAGTTCACGTCAGAGATTGCGGAGTTCTGTAAACAAAATGGAATCGAACACATTAGAACTCCATCGTATCACCCTCAGTCAATCGGGAAGCAGAAAAATTTGTTGATATTCTCAAGCGAGTTCTCTTAAAGATGGGAGGAGAAGGCAATGTAGAAGAGGCTTTGCAACAATTTCTCATTTCTTATAGAATAACATCGAGTTCAAACTATCAAGACGGGAAATCAACAGGCGAAATAATGTTTGCCCAACCGATTAGAACATTTTTTAATGTTTTGAACCCGAAAGAGAGAATGAGTGAAATCATACGAGCGAACATCGCAAGAGAGGTGATGTGTGGGCGAGAATTACAATGATTGGTTGTTTTGCTGTCAGACATTAGATAGAATGTTATCTGTGGTGGTGTTATATGTGTTATATATATTCCCCTATACTCAATGTGTATTGACTGTTATTGATTGAGTGTTCCTTGTCGTTGGATTGTGTCGGATTTTGGTGTGGAAATATATTGACGTTCTAGTCAGGCTAATCTCGTGTTCTTGATCTGAATTGTGTTGAAGTCCTGTAGAATAGACACTGGATGGGAATCTAGTGTCGATATGCGTTCAAGGTAAATTAGCGTCCTACATACGTGTAAAAAGTGAAGGGATTGTTATAACAAAAAACCAATGCGTTATAGCAAGTATACTACTTTTATAACAGTAAGAACATACAAAGATTCTCGAGAATGGATCGGACGCATATAAAATAAGATGGAAGGCTGAGTCGCCTATTCTTGATGAATTTCTATCAATAAGTAATACATTTTTATTTCTATTCCTCCATACCACAATAGAATGTTTCCGATAGAATGAAATTTTTCTTTTAACATCAATAGAATTTGGTATTCAACACTATTAGATACCAACTCAGAGGTCTAAAATTTGGAAGTTTGTGTGTGTGATTGGTGTTTCCAGATTTTATTTCTGCAGAAGGAGTTGTGGTTGACCACCGATGGAACGTACCATACTTAAACGAAACGGTTGTTCATTTCTAATGTTTTGGTTTCAGATAACGGAATGAAGTTCACGTCAGAGATTGCGGAGTTCTGTAAACAAAATGGAATCGAACACATTAGAACTCCATCGTATCACCCTCAGTCAATCGGGAAGCACAAAAATTTGTTGATATTCTCAAGCGAGTTCTCTTAAAGATGGGAGGAGAAGGCAATGTAGAAGAGGCTTTGCAACAATTTCTCATTTCTTATAGAATAACATCGAGTTCAAACTATCAAGACGGGAAATCAACAGGCGAAATAATGTTTGCCCAACCGATTAGAACATTTTTTAATGTTTTGAACCCGAAAGAGAGAATGAGTGAAATCATACGAGCGAACATCGCAAGAGAGGTGATGTGTGGGCGAGAATTACAATGATTGGTTGTTTTGCTGTCAGACATTAGATAGAATGTTATCTGTGGTGGTGTTATATGTGTTATATATATTCCCCTATACTCAATGTGTATTGACTGTTATTGATTGAGTGTTCCTTGTCGTTGGATTGTGTCGGATTTTGGTGTGGAAATATATTGACGTTCTAGTCAGGCTAATCTCGTGTTCTTGATCTGAATTGTGTTGAAGTCCTGTAGAATAGACACTGGATGGGAATCTAGTGTCGATATGCGTTCAAGGTAAATTAGCGTCCTACATACGTGTAAAAAGTGAAGGGATTGTTATAACAAAAAACCAATGCGTTATAGCAAGTATACTACTTTTATAACAGTAAGAACATACAAAGATTCTCGAGAATGGATCGGACGCATATAAAATAAGATGGAAGGCTGAGTCGCCTATTCTTGATGAATTTCTATCAATAAGTAATACATTTTTATTTCTATTCCTCCATACCACAATAGAATGTTTCCGATAGAATGAAATTTTTCTTTTAACATCAATAGAATTTGGTATTCAACACTATTAGATACCAACTCAGAGGTCTAAAATTTGGAAGTTTGTGTGTGTGATTGGTGTTTCCAGATTTTATTTCTGCAGAAGGAGTTGTGGTTGACCACCGATGGAACGTACCATACTTAAACGAAACGGTTGTTCATTTCTAATGTTTTGGTTTCAGATAACGGAATGAAGTTCACGTCAGAGATTGCGGAGTTCTGTAAACAAAATGGAATCGAACACATTAGAACTCCATCGTATCACCCTCAGTCAATCGGGAAGCAGAAAAATTTGTTGATATTCTCAAGCGAGTTCTCTTAAAGATGGGAGGAGAAGGCAATGTAGAAGAGGCTTTGCAACAATTTCTCATTTCTTATAGAATAACATCGAGTTCAAACTATCAAGACGGGAAATCAACAGGCGAAATAATGTTTGCCCAACCGATTAGAACATTTTTTAATGTTTTGAACCCGAAAGAGAGAATGAGTGAAATCATACGAGCGAACATCGCAAGAGAGGTGATGTGTGGGCGAGAATTACAATGATTGGTTGTTTTGCTGTCAGACATTAGATAGAATGTTATCTGTGGTGGTGTTATATGTGTTATATATATTCCCCTATACTCAATGTGTATTGACTGTTATTGATTGAGTGTTCCTTGTCGTTGGATTGTGTCGGATTTTGGTGTGGAAATATATTGACGTTCTAGTCAGGCTAATCTCGTGTTCTTGATCTGAATTGTGTTGAAGTCCTGTAGAATAGACACTGGATGGGAATCTAGTGTCGATATGCGTTCAAGGTAAATTAGCGTCCTACATACGTGTAAAAAGTGAAGGGATTGTTATAACAAAAAACCAATGCGTTATAGCAAGTATACTACTTTTATAACAGTAAGAACATACAAAGATTCTCGAGAATGGATCGGACGCATATAAAATAAGATGGAAGGCTGAGTCGCCTATTCTTGATGAATTTCTATCAATAAGTAATACATTTTTATTTCTATTCCTCCATACCACAATAGAATGTTTCCGATAGAATGAAATTTTTCTTTTAACATCAATAGAATTTGGTATTCAACACTATTAGATACCAACTCAGAGGTCTAAAATTTGGAAGTTTGTGTGTGTGATTGGTGTTTCCAGATTTTATTTCTGCAGAAGGAGTTGTGGTTGACCACCGATGGAACGTACCATACTTAAACGAAACGGTTGTTCATTTCTAACAGGTTTCCGATGGTGGTCTTTCCGTGATCACCACGTCAGTATAAATATATAAAATTTGATTTGACTACTACACTGAAAGAGTGTATACAAGCTCTCTGAACATGATGTTTGAATCATCCAAAGTTCAAACACTATGATCACTTTAAATAAAAGTATTCCACTTAGTGTGTTCTTCGTACATGGTACCTAATATCTGTCAAACGATCTGTTTGAATCATTTCAAGACGAAAAGACCATCCAGTGCTTCCACATTTTTAATGGTGGTTTAGCCTAGATTGACTCGTCACTTCAACATAAAAATAATTGCTTAAATGTTGATGAATAGTCACAGACAGTACACTGTAAAACGTTGCTTTTTATTGATAACTCTAGCTTTGCTCTCACGGATATTTAAACATGAGTGTACGGAAACATTTATTTCGGCCCAGTGATTCCTCAAATCAATACACAACTTCCACGAGAAAAGTACTGAATTCACAGTCAACAACATATTTACAGGTACAGTGGATGATGATCAGCTTAGATCAGTACAGATTTCGGTAATTCTGATTATTCCGATTGTTGTGAGAGTTTCGCTGAATATTGTTTCGAGGAAGCCTGTTTCTACTTCACTGTTACAACGAAATATGTTGGCTCAGTTGATGATGATGAGCTTTGCTAAACTGCAAAAACCTCGTGAGATCGTCACAGCGGTTTCGCTAAACTAGAGTACACACAAGTTGAGCTGCATTAGTGCATTTATCTTGTCCTCGGTGTGAAATCAGTTAAGAACTGTACCTCAATAGAAATTTTTAGTTATTCACACACTTCAAATCCATCGTATTGCTTTGTACGCAAAGTGTTAGGAAAGAAGTATGAATAAGGACATGAGAAATATTTACCAAAACCTATATTCAATGTGAGAAATTTGTGGGAGGTTCACATGCATCGTTTATTATAAATACGTTCAGAAGATGAATAAACGTCAGTTCATTGTGAAGTATACTGATGAAAATCTACATATTCGTCTTTGTGTGTATTGTACTGTTACAATCCGTTATTGGTAAACATGACCAGCAAGTGGTGCAAGAATCACACGACGTAAGTGATCGATGAGAATACTGAGAATCAACCATTTTTAGGGACACCTTGTGTACCCACAAAATTTCCAGAAAAGAGCGTTGACTAATAAACAGTTGCAATTCATCTTAGTTTATGACGAAAATTTAAAACAAAACAAAATGTTTCCGAAAATACAGGTAAGTCTTGTTTTTTATTAAGGCCTATTATTTGATGATGATAACAGTTGATAAGTCAGTAAAAACATGAAAAAGCCCCTCTTCACTGAAGCCTTCGGAAATGGGTACACGTTTATGTATATGATCACTATTGTACACAGATTGCGATACGGTATTGATGGAAATGTTATGGAGACATTGGTGTATCAATAGAATTAAAACATGATCCTCAATGGAATATATAAGCTTGTAGGAATATGGCCGATTTAGGTATCAGTGCATTCATCCTTGCAATTGTAAAAATGAACGATCCCGAAATCGTCTGTTTGTCATTATGTACCACCTAGTCTATATGATCATACGTGGGAGATACATCATTGTCTACCCTATCACCTCTGTAGTGGCATTCTGCAATAAGATGTTCAATAAAATCGACGAACACATTTGGGTTGGAATTGGAATTATATGTACAACATTAAATTGCATAAGTTACACACTGAACACTGCAGCTTGAACAAGCCATGCCATCTCCATTAGGTGTCCCTGCATTCACCACTTTTATCCTTCTCAATGGTGTTAAATGTTGAAAACAATCTCTCAAGTAATTGTATTTTCGGCTTCACGAATAGTTTTATTAGGAACAAATAACACTACAAGCTGATGAATAACGTACCAGTTTAAAAATTGAGAAAACATCTGATTTCGCCTCACCCACCAGAACACAGTTTTTTACACATTCCTCATATTCCAAACCAATCATGTGGGAAAAGACGAAAATTATATATGCATATTTTTATCGTTCAATGAAGAATTCGTGAAAATATGTCATGAGGTTTTGTAACACTTTCATTACTAGATTCATGTGTTATGCAGAGAATTTATTTCGGACCGTATGCAGTTTATGTGCGGTGTTTTGTGCTATAATCTCAATGTTTGAAAGTCTGATAAATAAAGTTACACTTCTCTACTATGTTATGCGAATTAAGTGATCTTGATTGCCAGGAAACAGGTTCCAACATCCGGTGAGAAGACGTATTTTAGATACTCAACACCCTAATTGACATGCGTTTCCCATAACTACTTTCGTGCAAATATTAGAGAGATGAACAACCGAGAAACAAATATTCCGTATCTACTTAGATCATAACCTCTATGATCATATATTTTCATTACAAGATATAAAAACTATTCACTTCACATTCTATCAATGAATATTTGCCATTGTTCTTATCAACAGAAGGCAATGGAGAGTGCTTCAAGTTATTGGGAGAAAACACTGAAAGTTAAGATGAACAGTAAGAAAGCAATACACTTTCCAAGGTAAATAATAATTGATAATTTGATGAATAAAAAACAAACCACGATATATATCCTTGAAGTATTGTCCGCCTAAAGAAGACCTACACCTAGCATCATTGATGGTCATGATCCCTAAACATTTTATGCAATTTTCATTGTAGATTACTTCCTATTCATGTCATTCAACAAACCATAAATTAAGGAAAGCATGTTTATGCAGTCTGTACGAGTCCCTCGTATTTGATTTCAACATGGTGAAAAGCAGGTTCACAGAAGAGAAACCACTATTGTAGTTTAACTATATCGATGATTCGTGAATATTCATTGACATATGAATTGAACGGAAGTGTGTTGATTTAAACAATATTCACTTTAAAGTTATGAATGTAAACAAGCTTGCAAATTTCACGCTATCTATATTGCCTTTTTTATTTACTGTAACACTTGTTGTTTTCAAGAGAGTGTACAGACAAAAGCCACGTGGTAAAAATGAAAAACAACGTTCTATCCTGTGTGAACGCTCAATGTAAAGAAGATACAGAAATTAAAGGAGTGAAAATTCCTAATAAATATTTGTCGGTAAGCGTAACTGTAATTAACAAAATATGATATGTATACTGAAAATCCCCGTGATCACTTTGTCTTCATCTTAATTAAAAGTCATTTTCGAATGTGACAAAATTGTCTGTACAATGAGAAAAATCTGCTTATATATATGCGAACTCAACAAACGTGTTCATTGTTAACTACAGGGCATGACGTCGTAAACATCAACATGTCAATCAACTTGATCAATATTTCAAAATCCATTCTGCAAGAGCCGTTACACTCTGCTTAACAGATCCGTAATGCGTTGTTATCTATAAAAACACTGTCTAGATATTAATGTTAAACTAATTGAAACCAAACCACATATTATACTATTTTGTTCATAATATTCCAATATATATTTTCAGTCGTGCCATCACCAAATGAACAACGAATATAAAGAGATTTATTCAGAAGGCCGTGGGTTAGCTCCCAATCAGTTATTGATTGTTGTGACGGGCCCATGTAAAATACCGAGTTACAAAAGCACACATATTTCTGGCCTTATTGTTCAAACACATTCAAGTACTGGAAGGTAAGCCATTTTTCAGGTGAGTATAATCAGTTGGTTAGATATTACACTGGTAAATACAGTGTGAGATTCTCTCTTTTACTATTAAGCTATGCAAGTAAGGAAGAATGATGAACATACATTTAGTTAAAGTTTGACAGAAACGCACATAAATCTACCTTTTATGCTTCACCTTATGAATGGTTGACCAAATAAATACTCATTTTATTTTGTTCCCTACTACGTTTGTTGACAAAGGAGTCTATATTGAAAGTAACCGACAGTTCGATATGAACATCAAAACACGTGTTCTAACGAATCAACTTGAATCAATAAGCTTTTGGTTTGAAAGTCTGTGAGTTTTCTAATCGAACATGTTCTAACTGTTTACTCCCAATGAATATACAGTAAATATAATGCGTTGATCTAGCTCACTTCCATGTTGCTCGCTCATTTAATTAGATGTATGGTACCACACGCTCGTCCACAATACTCGATATCAGGTTGACTGCGCTTATATTCCGTAAACCTCACAGCTCCTCACTTATACTGTTCAGTGAAATGGAGGAGCTGGCTGCGTTGAACATCATTTTGATACCTTTCTTCTCAAGTGATTGCTGTATCAATCAAATTATGTCGCGGCGTGAAGAAGCATTCTGATTTTAAAAGGTATAGAAATATTTTCAAGCGGTTTTATATGCAGGTCACCCACCGAAACATCGACAAAGTTTTGCGATGGCGGAAATATAATGGATGTAGATTTTCCTTGAGATGCCAGTTGCGGTATACGATGAACAGTGGCTGACTTGTTTAGAACTCATATCTATGTAGATGTCATTGTGAATAGGAATTCTACGTATAATATTTGACAAAGTTCGCCATGTGTGATGATGATTTCCATCGGTTATGAGAGCAACGAAACAGCAGAGAACATCATATTGCATATTTTACAGTGTCATTCATTCATTAAACCGGCAAGCCTCAATCCATTCGGCCTGTTACAGATGTAAATGAGAGGATCGGCAAATTAATAGCAGCATTCCTACATTTGAAGAACATATGGAACTCAAAATAACTGTCTGGATGAAGAAACCAGTGTGAGAATCTCCAAAATGAACGTCAAGACAGTTAGTCCTACTGTGCTGCGCAGAAATGTGGAGAACTGCTGTGTCGATCGTCATGAAGGTGCCAGTATTTATAAACAGTTTTCTATGCAAAATACTCAACATTCACTGACCGAATAATATCAGCAAATGCCTTTCATGGGAGACGACAAACCAGTTTCCATCTGAAGAGCAAATTAGGAAAAGACGTTGGAAGTGCATAGAACACATTTTAGGGAAATCACCAAACTGCATCACGACACCCAGAAGGGAAGCGGAAAAGTAGAAGGTCAAAGAACACATTACATTGTGAAATTGAAGCAGATATGAAAAGAATGAATGTTAACTGTAAAGAACTGGAAAGGATTGTTAGGAACAGGGTTGGATGTGGAACGCTGGTGTGCGGTCTATGTTCCTTGAAGACGGGTAACAGGCGTAATTAAGTTGGTAAGTAAGTTAGTACGTATCTCGAAACCTTTCCGTGATCACGTTCACGGTGTTAACAACTGGATCCACTTATGCCTGATCATGAACGAAATGGAAACTAACAGATTCAATGCCGTAAATACTCCACATCTCCATAAATCGTTACAACATATGTGTAGAAATAAGATGCCTCCTTGAATTAGAACAAATCATTTATCTCATGTTACTTGTTGATGAATTTAACATGAGGTATCTCGTTGTATTTCACGTAATCGTATGAACACCTTTCCTGTATAGTGTAATTTTAGGATTATTACACTCAGCGTGACTGTTTACCTACATCTTTAGCATACGCATAACGTCACGATCCCGGTACAGTGTCTGATGGAAAAATAATTAATATATTAGCTGTAGCTTTATAATTAATGTTATCCAATACTTCTTTGTGCTTCTACAGGCCTATTTTGGGCGTAATAGATTATTGTATGAAGGAAAAAGTATTGGTGAAAAAAAAGACGACGATTTTTTAGAAGAAATAAAGTCTCAAATTATTCATATACTGGTAAGTTTACGAAATAATGTTTTATTATGTCCACTTGTGAATAATCTCAATTCGTTCAGTGTTTGGTCAGTACGATGATCAGTGTTATAATTTGATTACATCGATCACAAACTTATTTCTTTTGAGTTCTACATCAATTTTTACGATTTGAGTAGTTGCTTGCATTTAACACAATTTAGTAATTATAGTACACGTTTATCTGAACCAAATTAGGCAGATATGGAAACAATAATAAATTTGTGTTTGAACAGTTATTAGATAAATCAGGTAGTGAACGTTAATGAATGTACGAAGTTTGTTCGATGAGTAAATCCCATTATATTTATGAAGGTTGTTGAGGAATAATTCATCTTTATCTGACTTTGGTGGACCAAAAAGTATGATAATCAAAAAATAGCAACAAAAACAATATTACGTCTAAAGTTTATATATCAATTAACAGTTAATAAGTTAATTACACACAGATAAAAAAAGGGACGTTATTTAATTATTCAGGCTATTTCGCGTTCAACTGAATTTGGTCCAGATAAACCACAATTATGAAAGATTAGTGATCTCAATATGGACGATATGGATCCAGTGGATTTACCAAGCGTAGAATTCAATAAGAATGTGACAATTTTTTATAAACGGAGATGTATGCAATTAATATTTCATTCAACGTATTAGCAAACACGGCAGAACGATGCAGATGTGAGTTAGATTGTATTTATTGAGGAGCAGTAACAATGTCGCGATATGTTGCACTCAAAACGGAAGGAAGTCAAATTACAAGTGTTCAAAGTAATACACTTAAACAACAAAGACAATTCTTTAATGCTAAATGTACAGCATATGAAAATACACAAAATAAATGCGGAAACTATGAAAAATTATTTACAACATAGGTTTTTTAGTCCTATTTCCATATGACTACGATAAATAAATAATATCTCGCTAACTGATTATTTCATGCAGGCTAATTCCTCCTGTTCAATTACGGGTTTACCCGAGATTATTCAAAAGCCTGAACACCAGTTATAGAAATAGTTTATTGATGAATCTCGGTCAAAATCCACAAACGTAGAGTTAGCGAGCACACCGGGAAATCAAGCGTGTGTGTGTATGAGTGTTAAAAATCCATATATATTTATGAGTGTTAATGGTTGTGGATAAACTATTGATTGTCTTTGTTTACAAACAATGATAGAACAGATTGAAGATTGATGTGCAGACACATGCGCTCAATCAGACTCACACATAAATTTACAGTGGATTAAATGTCATAGTTGAAAGCGTGAGAAAATTGAAGCTAGACCACCATGGAAAACCTGGAAACACCGGACGACCGTTTCGTCGTATTATGGGACTCCTCAGCAGTGCGCATCCACGAACCCACTCTTGCGAGCGAGATTCGAACCCCGGACCTACCAGTCTCGAGCCGAAGCCTTAACCGATAGACCACTGAGCTGGCATCCGACGGTGTTAATGTCTACATTCAACTGACTATAGTCCATTTTCTAACTCTATTATGAATAAACTATAATTGAACGGTAATCCAAGAGGAAATAAACAAGTTGTACGAATGGACTATTTTGTGGAATTTGCCACTTAATGTTGACAAAAGTGGATTTATTAACATTGGCCGTTGCCTTAACTGAAATCTGGCTATACAAAAACATACACTGAAACTTCTCAACACTGTTCGTGACGTGCGTTTAAGATATAGCGACAGTTTGAACTTTTCTGAACACATTGCATCTCAAGTATCCAAAGCTACAAAGCTCATCTGATTCATAATGATTAATTTCAATAATACTGAATCGAGAATATTATTATATAGAAAATGTATCTTACCAATTCTTGAATATGGTGTTTTAGTTTACAGTAATTGCAGGCATAATGACCTGATTAAAATTGAAGGTGTTCAAAGAAGGTTCACGAAAGCTGTTTTGTTGTATTCTGACAACAAAGACTATCACCGAAGATGTTAACAACTCAAACTAGAAACTCTCTCTATATTAGGAGTATCAAATTAAACCTTATCTTTCTCTAACGGCTTCTTAACGGTATTTCTTACTCTTCGCTATCTACCCCTTCATACTCTATGATACCGTCCCATAATCTACGCAATAAGGAAAATATTCCTGCGATTTCAAAAACCCACACAAATTTATGTCACAATTTTTTTCGTTATTCGCTACTCAACCATGTGGAATAGACTGTCAATGAACCTCCGATGCAGTGAAACTATAACCCGGTTCCGAAGTCTTCTTGATGATTTTCTTTCCGAAAGTGAATTATGTCACCTATTGAATATCAACATGCTTCACAATGATTTATACAAAAAAAGTCCGTCATCTATTTAACTGATTGAAAAGCAAAGTGAAACCTTTGAAACTTTTCATGCCTATTGTATTTCACTTTTATTCATCTTAATATACAAAGTCTGCTTATGGTCGTATTTATAAATATTACTGTTATTAATATCATTATTGGTCTTTCGACACATTAGATATTCTTGCCATCTCTTCTTGTCCTTCTAAACATGTTTTATCGAAAGTCTACAATTAAAAACAAAAAAACTTCTATGTTCCACTTAAACAAATAATTTTTTTTAAAAAATATTCACAAGATATAAAAATTTATATTTAAATTATTCTTTGCAATTAATTATGACTATGATAGAATCATTCTAAATTATTATTATTGCACTAATGTTCATACTACTACTACTACTACTACTACTACTACTACTACTACCCGGTTTCAATCTGTATACTGTTACATAAATCTACACGTATTTAACCGTAAGGATTTATTATTGTTGTTATTATTATTATTACTTTAAAATTATTCGTTCATCTCAAAAGTCTATATCCATTACACTATTATCATCATGGTTTGACCCTTTCACTATGTGTTCATTTCTTTTCTCTCTCTCCCTCTCCTTTTTAT